TTAGTGATTATAAATAGTAAAGTGCAGTATAATTGAATTGTGAATTACTGAGAAAATAAAGGACATTAGATAGAATCTTTATAACGAAAGAAACTGCAAATTAAGTTGGCGAGTTTTTATTTAACAATCCAGAGATCGTACCCGAAGGATCTAGAAAATAATCGAGGTTGATTCAGTAAAATCGTAACAATATGTCCAATGTAGGGTGTGCCAAAATAATTCATGACCTGCATTCATATTTCGAAATAAAAAACTCTTACTGTTCAGATTGCAATTTCCCATTAAATTTCAAAACACCTAAGTATGAATCATTAAATACATACACATCTTGCGTTATATACGCTTCAATGATTTTCCAAATGCTTCCAGTTCGATCGCTGGGTTAGTAAATAAAAGTGCCAAGAATTGTTGCTCAGCATCCTTATAGTAATCACACAGTTTACTATACCTCTTCTAAACACGCAGTATACGCTAATGTAAACACAAAGGTTACTTCGCTTAACTTTACACCGATGTGTTAACCAAGCCCTCAACTTAACTGAACTTGCCACCAGTGCGTTCTTTGCTCTTATATAGCTACAGATTGCTCGCATGGGTTTGCTACAAAAGATTATGTTCAATGTTTTCGATAACGAACATTCGATACATTCGACAATCGTATTTGGCATTTTCGTCATAATAATAATCCAGGAAAGTTTATGCAATTTATCCTTTTATTCACGAAAATCGTTTGGTATACACTTCCGAAATTTCCCCAGTTATCAAAATGATACACACGAATAATGCTAAAATACATATCTCTGCTGCTTAGTTAGATGAGTGCTCTCATTTGCTTTTCCACGATACCGTGAATTACAAATTTCGTTCTCTCATTTGATATAATGAATTTTCTCGCTCACATGACACTCAATTATATTGCTTGTTGAAATGTAATTGATCTTGCATGTATGAACACTGAATTATATGAATTTAGGGGTATAAACAAACATGGCAGTAAACAATTATTTTTTTTTTTCTATTCATTTCGTACACAGGGAAAACAGCTGATTCGTGAGGAGAATTATTAACTGTTTTGGAACGTTAATATTTTTTGGTTCAGTTATTTTAAGAAATTTAAATGTCTAAGCCACAGACAATGTTGCATTACCAAAATAGCCAATACACGCGCGTAATGAATTTGAAGTACAAATCAAAATATAAGCGCTTAAAGCGACAAATTAAAAATTTCGTTTTTGTAAGTATAGTTGAAAGTTTAACAATGAAATGCCAAGTTAAACAAATGTTTCTTAACTTTTAGGAAAATGCTTCTTTATGTGATGAAGTTGCACAGGTACAGGCAGATTTGGCATCTGCTCGAGAAGAGCGCCGCTATCTGATTAAGAGGCTTATGCGTTACGAGGGTGTTGACTGCCTGGAGCAACAGCAAATAGAACAAGACCATTCAGTACCACAACAAAAAGGACCGGGTAAAGTTCCTAGCTCGGCACCTAAAAAGAGAGGTCCCAAAAAACGTGCGCCACCACTGCAGAGTCAAGAAAAGATTGATAGACGCTACAAGCCACGCGACAAAGTGACTTTAGATGCAAGTGGTAGGCCAATGTACCCCATTAATTTATGCAATATTCTTATACACTCACCCGGTGAAATTATACCTATAAATCCAAATTTCCATTCAAATAACTGGATATATCCAGTCGGCTATGTCGCCACACGTATATATGCGCATCCAAAAGATCCTCAACGTAAATGTGTCTATACTTGTAAAATACTTAACAACGCAGGAATGCCACAATTTCAAATAATACCAGACAATGATCTAGATAGTGTTTTCTTTGGTGAGACGGCTAATATTTGTCATAAAGGTTTGTTGGAAACCTTGCAGCGCACTTTAGCCGATGTCGTGCAGTTACCGTTGCAAGTGCAAGGAGAGAAATTTTTTGGTCTAGCTAATCCGACGGTAAAATCCTTGCTACAAATGGATCCCGGTTATACACAATGTTCAAATTTTAAAGGATTCATCGAAGTAACAGATACCAATAGTACGGAAAATTTGTCTTTACTTGAAGACAAGGATCCAACAATGAGTTTTGATGCATTGCAAACGTTGATCGCAGTATCAACCTATCATAATATGCCTGAAGTAAAAGATGAACCACCAGATGAACTATTGGAATTTAAATAAATAACTCATAATACATATTTTATAAAAAATTATTTGAATACAGTTTATTGAAATTATTTTTTCACGCGTTTTAATATATATGTACATGTAATATGCTTTTTTGTATACCATAAAAACGTGCAGCAGTAAAAAAAATTGTCCGATTTATTATGATACGATCGATATACATTGAAAATTGTATACCTATTACGTGAAACTATTTTTAAATATATAAAATAAAAATCAGCATCTAAAAAATACATATCCATGTATGTTTGCTAGTTTGTCATTATAAGGATTACTAAGCAATTTTTGAAAATTACTTGTTTAGCAAATCGAAGCGTTCCTATATTATTAGTCTTATGTACATATACATAAGTCAAAACTAAAAGGTATTGATCACACTTTGAAGTCCATTTGAATAAAATTCAGTTGTTTTTGTTGCATTTGCTGCAGTCGATATTCTCTTATCGCTTACGTTGTGTCGTCGACGGCAACACATATTACTTTACGCTTAACGAATTGCTCTACTACCTGTGACGAACCGTTTGTGTTGTGTGTACAGATGAACTTTCAGAAGATGGTGTCCTAGGCACCAGTGCAGGTGAAATGGGAACTTGGCCCATAAATTGACGTGTTGTCGACGGTACTCGAGGCTGAGCTGGCGGTTGTTGGTATCGATATTGGACCGGGCTTGGCGATGGTGAATGAGAGTAGCGTGTTGATTGCGAACGCTGTGCGATATATGGTTCCTCATTTCCTTGATATTCTGTTTGACGACTGCGGCTGCGACCCAAATAGGCATCTTCCATTTCTTGTTGCAACAGTTTATGCTGTTGGAGTTCTTTTTCTTTTTGTGTGATGAGATGCTTTTTTTGTTGAGCTAATTTAACTGCTGACAATCTCGGAGGCTTGAAACGATTGAAAATTAAATTCGTACAGAAGATGATCGGTGTAAAAAGACGCACAGGGAAATTACTTAAAAAGAGAAAATTGAATAATTTATATATAAATATGAATGTTGTATGTGGTTTATGAATGTAAATACTTACACTGAGTCGACAATAGGTATTGCCTCATAACCACTCAATATGAATAGCGGGAAAAATACGCAAAAGGCGCAACCATTCAAAATAAACGATTCAGATAGGTTAGTTAATATGGTAAGAGGTAAACCGAAACCAATGAAATACGGCCAGTTATTTTCGATATAACTTAAGCGACGGTGCAACTCCCATCCCATGTTGAACCACTTGTACTCAAATGAGCACAACGCGTGGAGTAAACATAAATGAAAATTACTTAATACCACACCAATGTATGGAATAGGTATATAATTCACAATCCAGCTTTGGAATAAGAATAACCATTGTACGATTAAACCAAAAAGAAAATCCGCATAGTATTTGGTAACATTAGGCATCGTCTGAGGACTTTCTCTACGCACACGATACGCAGCATCTGCAATATCGGAGAACCATAGCAAACTTAAGACTCTGCATAAAGCACAAATGGGTCCTATCCAACCAATTTGGAAAGTGGCATTCGAAACAGGACGCACCCATTCCCAAACCATGTTTAATTCTGTTGTATCTGCACCGTAAAACAAACTTAATAAATATTTGAGAGCTGGCAAAATTCCATATTCGAAGAACATCATACATATCCAAGTGCAACCGATATTAAATCCGCAGCATTTTATAAATTTTGTAGCAATTTTTCTCTCCCTATTAACAAAAATAAAAGAAAAAAGTTTTATTGAAGTCAAGAAAAATGCAATTTTAACTCACAGTTTTGGTCCTTGTAAGTCAGTATTTTTTGAGCGTTTGATCATGCTGCTCAATCGCCTTTCGTTGGGATTTGTCTGTTCCTTTAGTTGGAGTAGCTCTTTCAGTTCTTCTCGTGCCATTGCTGCTGCTGAAGAAGGTGTTGGGGATGGTGTTCGTCGATACGCACGACGTTCCCTTGCAGCATTTCGCCGTTGTTTTGTCTCCTCTTCCTTGGCATCAATCTTATTCATTTCCTCGTCTATTTGAAACAACAGCTTAATTCCCTTGATGCTGTCAAGTATTCCGTAAAGCATCGCAAACGTTATATTCTACACCAATAAAAATATAGAATATAAAATTTATCTCCGCGTTGGTGGCATGCATTTACTCACCTTTATCGTCTCCATCTTAGAATTCCTTCGTCCCCACCACGCCAACTTCCACCCGTATCAACGTGATTTCTATCTTGTAGTTATTTGCGCATTTAGGATTATGAATTGACACTTACGCATCAAATATAATAAATCACTTAATTTATTTAGCAAGTAAATGCTTGAAAGAAATGTGTTCTTATACTGCCGTATGAGCTTGTGCAGGTCAATTTCGGTGATATGACAAAGGAAAATAAAATGCCAGCTGTTTTTGTTTTGTCAATACATATGCGCGTTGATGTAATTGCACACAACGTTGCATGTTTTAGGTACTTTTTCTTAACCCTAAAAGGAGTCAGAACCTAATATCATATTTACACTTGCTCAAATTTAAATAAAAACCAATATAATCGATGGATGGTAAGACTATTGAGCCATTGAAAAATTCCTTAAGTATCGAGTTAAGATGAGAGTGAGAATTTAAAGACTACTATAAAAACATTATAGGAACTCGAATTTCCTCAAATTTTGTGTAATGGTTGTTGAGATGTATCTCGTGACCCAAACGTGAGTGTCTCAACGTCCATATGGAATTTTTCAAAAATAGCATTATATCGGGAGATGGGTGTGAACTCGGTTCTATTTTACTTACTTGAAAGAAGGTTAGTACTTGAGATCTAGGAGTTATATGAACTAAATGTGTTTGATACATACTTTTTCATTGCGGTCAAAGGGAATGCTGACTTTTTAGCAGTGCGAATTACCATGCTGGGGGTCATAGTTCTAAGCTTATACCAACATTCCAAATTATAGATTTTTTTTCTAATACCGGTCATCCCTGTGCTTGAAGTAAATGAATTTCTTTCGTGAAATAGAAGCTTCACATTAAAACTCATCAGTCGTAGGGCTTAAAATAAACTGTAAGTTCTTCCATACGGAGGAAAAATATCAGGGCATTCATAAAATTTGAGGTTAAGTCGAACCTAATACCGAATACAAATAAAAGTATGTTTATATACACATCAATTGTTCCTATTTCGTACACTGAAAATGCATCCCTGTTGCCGAGTAAATTTGAAAAGCAAAACAAAAATATGTATAAATTGAAAAAAAAAAAAGAAATGAAAGAAAACGTAATTGACAAAATGGAAGAAAATCAGTAATAAACTGGTTTTAGAAGACAATTTTTGTGCATCATCAATACATTTTTAAAATATTTTCTACTGACGTTTCAAAAATAGCATTCATTAAAATTCTGCATGTTTTATTTATCAAAACAAGTCCTCATTATCGAGGTAAGTTTTGAAACGGAAACAATTTATAGTATTTGGAATGTTAAATTTCTTGTCGCATGATAAATTGCGTTCTTTGTTTTCTACGATGTGCAATAATTTAATATGAATATATATGAATAGCAAGACCAGTAAGTAACTGTGGAACTATTTAGGGCTCAACGCAATTGCAATTCTTAAATAAGATCAATAGTTTGTATATTAAGAATGTGCACACCATTTCACAACTGTAGGTAAAAGCTAGACAGAAATGCATTGTAGAAAGTGACTTCTCCAAACTCAAAGGTTACATAAAATATACTAGATAATGACAATAGATTTTGCGCTATATGCCTCACTGCATACATATGTGTGTATCTGTATATATATCCACAATGGGCATGTCGCAAATCAAAAATAAGCAAGCAGTTCGTCTACAAACCAGCACACTTATCCAGTAGCTATAACAGGCTGGAGTATTTCCTTTTCAATACTAAATTTTTGTACACAAATATATTGATATACATACACAAATATACATATATGTACATTCTAATATGCTTCCTTAAAATACTTGTTGCTTTTCTATGTGTATAATCAAAATCCTTTATACTAGACATGGCCAATATGACATCTGTACCGTATCTTTGGCGTGGGCTTACATACATATGTTTATAAAAAAATATTTGTGTATTTCGGCCATTTTGGTTGAACCTATGTGCATGGGAAAATAAACATATGTATACATAAATACCTATAAAGGTATCAATATGAAATATATCCTTACGATGGAGGTATTCATCGTCTGCATAAGTTTATAGTAGGTATGTAGGTTCCAACGAACTTACATGTGTATTCATCGTAAGTACAGTAGTGAACATATGTTTAAAAGGACATTTCAGACTTCATTACCTCATGCACAAACTTGGCTTAAGTTCAGACTACATATACCCGCTACTACAGTAAGGAATCGGAAAGATCAGCAAGCGAGCAATAGAATGCGACGCTGTAGCAAGAGGGATGTCGAAATATCTAGGAGCAATTCAATCTTAAGGGAATTGTGTTGCTTGCATTAACCTCATGTGTTCTATAGTATTGGCAGTGCCAACCGGTAGGACAATAAAACAGAGTTCGCAATGCAGATTCTCTACAAATATAACTATGACTTAAACCAATACGCTTTTGTGTATAAAAATGAACGATAAATTATGTGAATGTATGTATGTATGTAAATCCCTTATCATCACGCAAATACAAGTAGATGAGGGCCATCAGTATCGGTGCTGTATATATTAATATACATATTTATATGTATGGATGTATGCTATATATGTATTTACTTGGCGTTTTATGTTCGATGAAGCGGTATTTGGCCGAACATTGTGCTGTGAGTCTGAATATTTTTCCAATAAATGGAGGAACCGAATCCGAGCAGTTAATGGATTTTTATGATGAGCTTCGAATTGCTAACAGTAATATGATCGGAAAGTTTGACACTCTATGTCGTGAGCAGAACGCCATTATAAAATTTAATAATTTCAAAGTACGTTTTGGGGAATGTTGCGGGAGTGACAGTCCTTGGCCGGATAAAAATCCGGGTCGTTCCGGTATATAGACCCGACTGTCGCGGGAACTATTGGATTTTAGTCGCCTCTTACGACAGGCATGCCTTACCGCGGGTAAATTCTAGAGCCCCTAACCCGCAGGGGGTCTTAATATTCTGTAAATTTGGCTGTTGGTGTGGCCAGTGTGCGAACCCATAAGCCCCATGCAGTATCTACTAACCACTCGGCCAGAGCCGCCGCAGGGTATAATTGCAAAAACAAATTATATTTATATTAATAACTTCAGTCAAACAATTAGAATTTTTTTGAGTTTTGAGCCTTTATATGTATGTATGTCTAGACATATATGTATATACATTTCTGTACACACATATTACATTCATGTTGGTGGTATGTAAAAATACTATGTAATTCTTTATCAGATTCATAAATAAAGTATCGATTTTTTAGGAGAAAACGTTAAATGAACGGAAACGGGTCATACCAATATAAATAAAACGCTTCATTTTATTTTTGTTGTATAATATATATACATATATAATATATATATTCTAATCTATGCCGTTGATTTGATTAAATTTCACTTTATGTACGCTTAAATTCTATTTGTTTTAAATTAAGTCGTTGATAATTTGACAAATAAGTACTTATCCATATGTACATACTCTCATGTATGTATATAGAAATGTTTTCTAATTTTCATGCAAAAGCTGTGCATATAAAAGGCATAATTGTGTTGGGAGAAAGTTTTAGTCTTTTTATAGAGTCCGCAGTTATAAAATCGCAATCGAGCTGCGAATTTTTCACAAATCAATTTTACAAAAATATTTTTTTTTTAAGAGTTCTCTTTTTTCTATTGTGTTCATCACGTCGCTCTCATGGAATATGGGATTTATGTGATATTGCCTTTACTGGCGCAAGCCAGACGGACGAAAGCCACTGCTTTAGCTTATGCTTTGTGTATTTTTAACAAACAAATCTCAACCAAAAAGATACTTTTCTAATCGGTATTGTCTGTGAAGTGATGTTTAAATGTTGCGCTGTGATTATTATTATTTTATTTTTTCATGACAAATTTCAAATAAAATACCTTTAATTAAAAAAATTTTTGAATATTATTCGTTTTAATATACATATGTAAGTATCACATATTTTGACACTTTGAACTACTTATGGTTGTTGTATTTAATGCCTGTGTCGTTTTTAGTCTTCATTCTACGCATTTTATTTTTCATTTCATTTTTATTAACATTTGAAAGATTCCTGAACTAGATATTTTATTCGTCATCAAAAGGTAGCTTAAATTAAACTGGTTATAGAGCAGATCGCCTTAAGTTAGACAGGAAAATGTTAGTGCAGCTCAGAAAATCCTTTTCGGCAGCAATTTTCAATAATGTATAATTTTTTTTCTTCATAAAAAGGTCATGCCACGATAAAAATACGGTGTATCAGCATCAGAAAAGTGTCGCATTCAGCATTTAAGAAACTTCGATACTGCGAGATTAAGGTCTCTATTTATAACCGTTTTCAGTGTTTTCGGAAAAGTCGCAGTTTTCTGAACAGATTCTTTTTCAGGACTTTATAAAACGATTTATCTAAATTATGGATAAGTACTAGGTAATAATAATAGCTTCCAGGAAAAAATTAGAGCTATATCGATTTCAAAGATTCATAAAAAGTGCGAGACGTTCAATATTTTCGTAATTTGAATGGAACACTTTTGATTATGGCATTCTTTTGAACCTAATTTTTTTCATATTGAAAAAAAAATCGAAGAGTGTTGCTTCAAATTATTCTATTTCTACTCAAGGCAGGCTTTTAGTACCAAAAGTTTAGTAATTAAGCTTAAAATAGCTTAAATAAACCTAATTTATATATGTTTTATATATGAATGTACATAATTTTAATATATTATATTTATTATTTTATTTATATATTTTTTCCTTATACCTTACAATTAACATTTTTTCATTGTTACTTAAAAAAAAAACTCTGCCTGAACAATTTTTTAAATAAATTTTTTATTTTTGTAGTATTTATGCCCTCATATTTTCATGTACTTACTATATGCAAATACTACGCAAATAATTTAATTATTATTTTAAGTCTCTTTAATTATAATAATTTTGGAAAGTAAACAAAAAATTATAAACTGGAAAAAAAAATTATAATTTTTTATATGAAAACATTCATATATTTCTGCTCCCCTTAAAGCAAAGACAGTGTTATTATTTGTTTAACTTTTTTTTTAATAAAAGGGTTGATAAGTATTTTCTAATATTTATGTAATTGTTAGTTACAATAAGCAGGCATATACATACATATATTTCTATATGTTGTAATTACGTGAATAATTATAAAAATTGGATAAATATTTACACCTAAAACTTGTTTTTTTTTAGCTTGTTAAACAAAAGGCAAATAAATATTGGAAAATAAAATCTGGCATAACAAATTACTTTTTGATACTTTTATCAGTTTTTGTGCAGGTTTACCAAGTGACTTATTCAAAATAAAATATCAGCATAATTTGCGTATTGATTTTAATGTATGTGTGTGTATGTAGTGTGTATATACTCGTTTATTAATTTTAGTTTAGTTAAAAAATCAAAGCAGTCAAGAACTTTACTAATCTACGCCATGGTCTTATATATGTATGATATAAAAATACAAAAAGGAATGAATATGTATGTGTGAATTTGTTATTTATTTATAAACATTCATATATATATATATATATATATTTTATATATGTATTTATTTAATGTAAATTTGTCTTTAACTATCTTTGTTCGTGCAACTTGCTTCAGTGCAGACATGTCTTTATATAATATAAATTAATTTTATATGTATGTATGTATGATTGTATGTATGTATTATCATAATACGTCGACGTCAGCAAGAAATTAGAAGCTTGTTTATAAATCACATGTCCTAGTAAATCGAGACATATGGTCATCGTATAAATGCCATAACACTTTCCAATGTATTTATGTATGTAATAAAGTGAAGCGAAACTGGAAAAGTAAATATAAAGATAATTGTGATTCATAGTCGACTTTTTTTTACTTTTTTATTAAATTTTTTTTTTATATATTTTTTAATTATTTTATTTTTTAGGGTTTTTTATTGTTATATTTTTTATTTTTTCCTTTGATTTTTATACCTTTCATATACATGGAATGGTATTTTAATTTTGGGACGAAGTACCAGAAGGTGAAGAGATCCAGATTGAGATTTATCAAAATTCATACCGCTCGGGTCAGAATTAAGAGTTGAGTTGACTTAGTCATGTCCGTCTGTCCCTTAGTCTGTGTGTTTGTACGCAAACTAGTATCTCAGTTTTCGAGATATTTCGACTAAACTTGGTGCACATATGCAACGGTACACGGACATTAATAAACGATCGTTTTCAGAACCGGCCAGATTGATTGCTATTATAGCATACATACGATCGATTTTTCAGATTTGAGATTTTGGGTTATAAATTTGTCAAAGACGCTTCTAAGGGCGTGAAACTTGGTAATCTGGACACAAATGTATGGTGTACTACACATTGGTGGTATCGAAATCGGATGACCATAACATATACATGCATGGATGACTATCATCGCACATTTTCTATATTACCGTTTGTATATATATGGGGTTTTAGGATAAAAATCTGAAAAAAGCTTCTAAGAGTAAGGAATTGACTATATCAGATAGCTGTCACTCATCGCTTGTTTAAGATATGAGAATTAATTTTTATTTCTAAAATAAAATTTCACAAATTCTATATGATCATGAAAGGTATAAAGACTTCAAAAGACAGCTCTTCTTTCTTGTTTGATTTTTATTTTTTGTTTAAATTTTTTCCTTTGCTCTTTTTAGCTGACTAATGCATTGTTTTTAGGGCATACATATCTATGCACATGTATAACTCATGTGCAAAATACTACATAAGAAAGTATATAAACATAAGTATGTATGTACGATTATACTTACTTGCATTTTCTTTATTAAAACAAACAAATGTCTACGTTAGTTTAATATGATCAGTCGTCTCATTATCATTGTGAAGTGTACTAATTAATTTATAGCTTCTTTTTCTAATAAATTCGTATACATATATATGTACATATAAAACTAATAAAGCTTATTATTTTTTCTATTTACAGTTTGCAACGAGGCCTCCCCGTATCGCTTATAGCAGATTTAACCAAAACAGATTTGTGCTCTGTAGCATTTTATAGTGTCAGTTGACGTTTCTTTGTCTTCTCCAAAACATACATACATACATACATACATGCATGTGTGAATAAGTCTGTGTGCCGCACCGTGTCTGAATTGATCAGCCAACTAAGCGTCGTGAACTGTATTATCGAAAGGAAATAAACCGGGTCTAAGTCCGATAAGTCAGCTGTTGGTTGTGCCGATTGGAAGTGGAAGAAAAAGTATATTGTCCAACGCAAAGAATTCCATTAACATACACTGAAAAGGGGATAAGTGAAAATAGAAGACAGCACAGCTTTCAAGCGCTTGGAGTGTGTGTCATTCTGCTCCTTTTCATATATTAATTTTGTTACTTATTGTATTGCTTTTGTTGGTGCATCAAAAATTGGTGAGTTGTAAACACAAAACGCCCCTCATTGCGCTCTAAATCAACGAATTAATGAACATTTAATATAAAATGTATAATTAAATTAATTAAACATTGCGCACATACGTCGTGAAGAGTGTCTCAACGAAACAGCAACAATCAAGCAAAATATAGAAGCGTTTAGAAAACAACGAAAACCACCCTCTTCGCTCTTTCTCCAGGAAGTAAGCACACACATACGTACACGTACATGACAGTTGCAGTTGAAAAAAGTTGTGCAGGCGATAATTGATTACAACATCCATACAATCACTGCTCTACACATACATACATATCTACAACGCAGCGATAAGCGCTTACAGCTGGCATCAGCATCAACACGGACAACAAAACAATCGAACAGTTGCAGTTAAGTTAACGTGCCGTTTGCAATTGCATCAGCACCCAAGTCTCAGCTTAGAAGGCGGCAATTGTGTGTGAAAAAAAGAAGAAATTTTGTGTTGCAATTTGAAAATAAAATTCGCAAATAAAAATAATTAACGCGTCGAAAATGTCTAGTTCGCGTGATGACGTCTTGCCCATTGTGGAGAACGAGGAAGCACCGCCACCACCATCGCCCGCCTCGGTGGCCAGGCGCAGTCCGCAGGATAACGAATTGGATTTGCAGCCCAGCGGCTGTGGTTCGTCGATGTGTTGTAATCCCACCAGCGGTGTGCATCGGTTTATTGCCTTGATCTTCATGTGCCTGCTTGGATTTGGTGAGTGAAATCATATTCATTCCACAATATAAAGCAAAAAATATATATTAAAACAATAGCAAAAATATTATGAGAATTGCAAATTGTATTTTCTAAAAATAAACCTTTCATTTGTTATTTAAGTCGCATTTTTAGACTTCCCGCTCATGACGAATTAATTTACTAAATTCTTTTTTTTTTTGTCTAACTCGTTGATAATCAACGCGCAAATATTTTGTTTACTTATGTAATATGCAATTATTTTAAACCTTATCAACAATCCCGTGTTTTCGGGATTTTTAAAACAGTGTGTTGTAAAAAAATATCTTAAGTTTCCAATAAACCGATTATCGAATGTAAAAACAATAAAATTCTATGGGCTTGCGTAAGACAAATTTTTCCTGCTCTTTTCAAGAAGTTAAACTGCAAATATCGGCATTTTTATGGTATAATGGAATTTTTTAAAAGTATAACCTTAGAAGGTAAACGCAAAAATAAAACTAAATTAATCTACTACCGATGCGGCACTGAATGCTCTAAACTTACTAAATTAATTAATTAATAAATGAAAAATAAAATAAAAATTTGAGATGCCCTGAGTACACAAGTTTTTGAAAAGACCAAAACTTTGTTTCAAAATTTTTAAAGTCGGTAGAATAATAACAATAACCCATTAGTTCTTTCAAAACCAAAAATTGCAATTACGAAAACAATCAAAAATTAATTTGTTTACTACCTACTCGCAAAAGAACGCTCCAAAACGCCTAAATTCTTCTTTGTCATTGTAGCTGAAGAGTACTTATAATAGAAATATATTTATTTAGAAAAATCTATAATAAAAATTATGTTTTGAAATAGTTTTGGTATAACATTTTCTGTTTTTTAATTCAAAAAATAATTTGCAAAAAAATATTATATAATAGAATTATGAAAACAGTGAAAATTGCTGCAAAAGAATGCTTTATATCCAATGTCTCAAAAATGACTAACCTTTTCCTTAAACAGATTTGCCGTAATAAACCTAAAGATTAAAGATTAAATACAAAAAAAAAAAAAATAAATATTAAAGTAATAAATAAAAAATAAATAGGAAAAATATTAATTAAAAAACAAGTAAAAAACAATAATAGATAACAAAATAAAAAAATTATAAAAAATCAATAAAAAATATTAAAAAAAATAATAAAAAATAAAAAAATAATAAAAAAATGATAAAAAAATAATAATAAAAAAAAGATAAAAAAATAATAATAAAAAAAAGATAAAAAAATAAAAAAATAATAAAAAAAAGATAAAAAAATAATAAAAAAAAAAACAATAAAAAAATAATAAAAAATAATTAAAAAATAATAAAAAAAATAATAAAAAAATAATAAAAAAAAATAATAAAAAAATAATATAAAAAATTTTATAAAAAATTATATCAAAAATAATAAAAAATAATAAAAAAAATAATAAAAAATATAATAAAAAAATAATAAAAAAAAATAAAAAATAAAAAAAAAAAATAATAAAAAGAAAATAATAAAAAAATGATAAAAAAATAATAATAAAATAATAAAAAATAAATAAATTTAAAAAAATAAATTATAATAACAAAAAAAAAAATGATAAAAATTAAGTAGATACATATATCTGGAAATCTAATGCTTTGTTATTATTATTAATTAAGATTAAAGATTAAATACAAAAAAAAAAAATAAATATTAAAGTAATAAATAAAAAATAAATAGGAAAAATATTAATTAATAAACAAGTAAAATTATAAAAAAAAATAAAAAAAAAAATAAAAAAAAAATAAAAAAATAACAAAAAAAAAATAAAAAATAATAAAAAAATAATAATAAAAATAAAAAAATAATAAAAAAAAAATAAAAAATAAAAAAAAAAAAATAAAAAAAAATAATCAAAAATAATAAAAAATAACAAAAAAATTATAAAAAAAAACAATGAAAAATTAATAAAAAAAAACAATAAAAAATTATAATAAAAATAATAATAAAAATAATTATAAAAAAATAATAAAAAAAAAATAATAAAATAATAATAAAAAAATAATAAAAAAAAATAAAAAATAATAAAATAATAATAAAAAAAAATAAAAAATAATTAAAAAAAAACAAAAAAGTAATAAAAAGAAAATAATAAAAAAATGATAAAAAAATAATAATAAAATAATAAAAAATAAATAAATTTAAAAAATAAATTATAATAGTAATAAAAAATATAAAAAATAATAAAAATAATAAAAATAATAACAAAAAAAAAAAATAAATGATAAAAATTAAGTAGATATATCTGGAAATCTAATGCTTTGTTATTATTATTAATAAAAATAAAATAAATAAAAAGTATGAATAAATAAGCTAAAATAAGTTAAATGAATATAAATAAATAACTATATATATAACACTAAATAAATAAATAAGTAAAAGTAAATAAATATAAATAATTAAATAATTATAAAAATAATTAAATAAAAACTAATAAACATAAAAAATTAATAAATAAATACTAAATAAGTCAAAATAAATTAATAATTAAATAAATAAATCAAAATGAATAAATAAATTAGAATGAATAGATAAATTAAAATGATTGAAATAAATGAACTAATTAATATAAATATATTAAATTAAATAATTAAATATTAAAAATACATTGATAAATAAAATAAAAATGAAATTAAGTTTTAAAATAGTTTTTGTATCAAATTTTTGGTGGTGAAACTTTAAATTTGGTTCATGATTTCTTTCATTTAGTGGATAAACTAAAATGCTTTTCAAAAAATTATGAAAACAAATGAAGATTAATTGCTTCTACTACTGACTTGCAAACGAACGCTTTGCCATGGTTTCGATTGATTCGAATAAAAAAAATATTTATCTTTCAAATCTGATATAAGAAATTTGTTATGCCATGATATATAAAAATGAAGGTAGTTTCACTCACTTAACTTATTTAACCGAGTTTAATTTTTTTCAACGCATTCGTCTTGCCAAGAGTACTTTTGATTTCGGTCGAAACATAAATAAGAGCGTATTTTGAAAACAAGTTAATTAAATATTTTATTTCTGCCCTCAACTCTCATATATTATTTTTTTTATAACCGAGTGACATGCTTAGCCTTGCCAAGTGAAGTTTTGAACTGTTTTAAAAAGAAAAAGATGCAGTTTAAGAAAGAATTTTTCGAAATAAATATTTTTTTTTCTATAAAACATATAACAAAATATTTTCTTTTCGGGTTTAACCACACTAATTTATATAAGTCAGTAAAGTAACGCTTTGCTTGCTCCCGCTTGACCCTGAGGTTGCTATGCCTATGCTTTTGACTACTGATAGCTAGCTTTAAAGCTGTGTGTCATTTCAATCTTCATTTATAATAAATGGAGCGTATAATTTTTTGGTTATTGTAAAAAAGAAAAAGCAAATAAAATGATAAAATATGTAAATGTGAAAGTCCAAGCCACGTTTGTGCCAGTAGGCGATTATTTTTTGTTCTACATATTTATGTATTTAATTTCTGTACAAAGGAGATAAACACAAAGGCTTACATGAGAAAAGATAGTCTGCAATTATGATTGCAAAATTATTAAAAATTCATTGTTTAAAAAGGAGAAAAAAAACATTTACGACTACGAGGAAGTTATCTGTAGGTTGTTTCTGGTTCAGTAATACGATTTGTTTTTGTTAAATACTGTTTACACTGGCTTAAAATCATATTTGTGAAACTCATTCAGGTTGGCCAGATTTTATAAGAAAGGTACTTGTTTACAAACTTCAAGCCAGGATATGCTCATTTGCTTTCGAAAGCAGGCTAGAATTTCTTCGAGACGTTTTTAACTTTTTTAGAATACATTTAAGAGGCTCGAAGGTTTTTATTAGACTACCAGCTGTACCCTACAAAGCTTCGCTGTCGCACATATTCATTGAATGCATGAAAAATTAATCATCTTTTTATATAACTTTATTTACTCCTTAGGTGTGGGCATACAATATTTTTGGTTTAACCATTGGCATTGGTCCACTTCTCGGAGAGATGTGCAGACTTCCAGTTAATCTAAGGAAAAAGATACTTATGTACAGAATTTCAAGTAAATCGAACCATCAAAAAGCTTTCATCACATATGTGGGTTCCTAGTCCACTTCCCGAAATTTTTTTTTTGTAAAAATCACCCCAGAAACCATAGAAACAATCTGGAAAAATTTTAAGTCAACTGTTGTTAACTTTTGGAGATTTTTTGGGGACTACTGGATTTTTCCAAACGAACATAAGATTTTTATGAGAGAAATTTTGAGAGAGGTTAGGAACATTCACCAACAAACAAAAACTGCTCGAATAAACAAATCAGAAAGAAGAAACGAAGAACGTTTAAAATTTTATGACTTTTTATTAGCAAAAGTATTAGGTTTTTTATTCTAAGCCTTCCCAGATCCACAACTAACAACCTCCGAAAATTTAATCCAGATTGGTCACTAACAAACAAGTTTCATTTTTATATATTTTATATATTATATATATAATAATTAGAAACAGTAATACGTAAACCTTTTGAGTATTGTATTGTCCATCTTATTCAAAATCTTAACATTTTTTCCTTTTTGTTCTGCTTCAGGCTCCTATTTCTGTTACGATAATCCCGGCGCACTGCAGGAGGTCTTCAAGCATGATCTCAATATAACCACAACCGAATTCACACTCATCTATTCCATCTATTCGTGGCCAAATGTTGTGCTCTGCTTCATTGGTGGTTTCCTAATCGATCGTGTATTTGGCATACGACTCGGCACAATCATTTATCTCTTCATTTTACTTATTGGACAATTAATTTTCGCCTCCGGTGGTCTGTTGGGTACATTTTGGATTATGATTTTGGGTCGTTTCATATTCGGTATTGGCGCTGAATCATTGGCGGTAGCGCAAAATAACTACGCTGTGCTGTGGTTTAAGGGCAAAGAGTTGAATATGGTGTTTGGTTTGCAATTATCAGTGGCACGTTTTGGTAGTACTGTGAATTTCTGGGTCATGCAACCGATCTACGATTATGTATCGAATTTCTATGCCGATCATAGAGCTATTGGTGTTGTGTTGTTGCTGGCAGCGGGCACTTGCGTGATGTCACTTTTGTGCGCATTGATTTTGGGTAAGTGGTTGGTCGGAAAGTTTTATGTTTGTATGTGTAATTTACTGTAATTGCTTGTCAACCGTAGGTTGGATGGATAAACGCGCTGAACGTATATTACAACGCAATACAAATCCCTCCGGTGAGATTGCCAAATTGAGTGATGTCACTACCTTCAAGGTGACCTTCTGGATGGTATCAATTATTTGTGTGGCGTATTATGTGGCGATCTTTCCGTTTATTGCTTTGGGCAAGTGAGTAAAATTTGCGAATTTCATATAAAGATTTTATAAATATTTTTTTTTTTGTGTTATCTAATTTTCTTCAGAACCTTTTTCATGCATCGCTTCAACTTGAGACCCGAACAAGCTAATAACGTCAATTCTATTGTGTATTTAATATCAGCAATTGCATCGCCGCTTTTTGGCTTCATCATCGATAAGACCGGTCGCAATGTCAGCTGGGTGTTTTGTGCCACATTCACGACAATTGGCGCGCATGCACTACTCGCATTTACACTGCTCAATCCATATATAGGCATGGTCACGATGGGCCTGTCCTATTCCATGTTGGCCGCTAGTTTGTGGCCATTAGTTGCTTTGATCATTCCGGAATATCAGTTGGGCACAGCGTATGGCTTGTGAGTAGTGTGCAGAATTAGTATTTTTAAATCATTTTAATGCATTTTATTTTCAATCTCTTTTTAGCTGTCAATCTGTGCAAAATCTTGGTTTGGCCATTATCACCATTGTTGCTGGTATGATTGTCGATCGCAGTGATGGCAATTATCTCTGGGTTGAGCTCTTCTTTATGGGCTGGCTAACTCGTGAGTTGTGAAACTAAATATTAGTTGAATTTTTGTACAAAAATTTTATAAAATCTGTTTTCAACATAATAATTTCTTGCATTTTAGTTGCCTTAATTTCGACTTGCGTAATTTGGGGTTATGATAAGAAGACGAAAGGTAACCTGAATATGACGCCAGCGCAACGTGTCCAATATGCTAGCGCAATGTATGTGAAATTCTAATGAAATGAAAATGCAAACGCAAACAAGTACATATAAAGCGGCTTTTTGTTAATCAAATACCACGAATCTGTGCATTATTAATTTGATGAACGCATTCTTTACAGGCGCGCTGCAAATCTGGACAATGGCGTTTACTCTAGCGATCAAGAGCCACTGCTGGATGATTAAAATGCACCAAGCTGGGAGAGAAAGTGAGCGTAGTTGTAGTTGCACACGGAGTACGTGGCAGAGTTTTTCAGCCGGAGCAAGGTGGAGGCTGTAGAAATTGCAGTAGGCCAAAAAGGAAAAAAAAACACTAATCATAAACGTAGTTAGCAAAATTTTGCAAAAAAAAACTAAATATTATTTTATTTTTTGCGAAAATTAAGTAAAATTCGTTCTTTCGACGATACCACCAAATAACCAACCAGCGCATATCACCATTAAACCACTCATCAACATATTTAGCGTGCACCTTATGTATGACATACTAGATTTTCAATTCAAGCTTTTAGTGATTTTTTTGGTTTATTTTTTATTTAATTTTTTTTTTTAATATTTTTTAAAACAGCGTAGCATATTTTTACACAAACATTGTTTTCTTTACCCATAATATATATTTTACCATTTTAACAAATTTATTTTGTAAGCAAAAATCCTGCACTTTAGAATCACATGCACACAATGCATGCAACACTTAAGATTTTGATTGATATACCGTTAATAGCAATTCATATGAAATCAAAATTTTTAGTTTCTGCAAGTAGTTGTTGTAATATTTTATTTCTTTAAGTGTACGATCCTAAAGCCACTGACGTTTATCACATCACATACAAAAATCTCTCTTTAGGCAGCGAAATGAAAATTTGAAAATGTATTTACCGAAAATTTTATCAACAAAACTATATGTACTATATGTAATAATATATAATGTAAACAAACAAATTTATTGCGCGTTAACTGTTCGTCATTGGTAGTTGTTACAAAAAAAAAATACCAAGATATATTAATATACAAACACAACATTTACATACATACATAGCTTTTAATATACATAAATGTCATGATGTAATGTTGTAATGTTAACTATTTTCTCTATTTACAATGAAATTGCCGCTTAAAAATATGTATTTAGTGTTGACATTTGAATGTGCTTCTGTGTGAGTGCTATGCGCATCGATAAAAACAGCTACATATGTACAAAAAATGCATACAAGAAGCAAAAATAAAAAATTAAACTAAAAAATCTCACAAAAATATCGTAATTAAGTTTTAATATTAAATATTTAAACAGTATAATACGGTAAAATATAACAAAAACCAATCAGTTATGCTAATATAAATATACATATACATATTTCAGTACTATTTATATTTAAATGTTACGGGAAAAGGTTAAATTTTGGCTGAGTGAAGTTGTGTGTGCGTGTACTCATATGCGCGTTAGAAGTGGTTATTATTATGTGATTTAACAACAGAGTAAAAAGACGAATGAAAAAATATATACATAAATATAAATATTTGAAATAATGATCTAAATATGAATAACTGTAATGTATTTAAAAACGAATAAAGAAATAAAAACAGCAAGCTAAATAAATATTTTTTACTGAAAAGCAATTAGGGAAACCAAAAAAAAAACTAATTTTGTATTTATAATTGTTTTCCTAAATGGAAATGGAATAAATGGAAGCACCTACAGTTTATACTCCGAACGGCTGATAGCTTTTGAATGAGGAACTTTATTTCATGTCCGAAATAAACTTGGAGGGGTGGACATTCCCTGCCGAGGGGCGACCGCAAATATAAAATTTAACTTAATTTTTTGTTTTAAAATAATTTTCCAAAACTTTTTTGGATGCTGGTGGCACCGGGATTTGAACCCGAGCCCTGCGAATGTCAGTACGCAATGCTAACCACTTTGCTAATAGCAAAAATACAAAGGACTCTGGAGCATAAAGGTGTTTTTCTGGAAATAATTATTTCCTTAATAATGTCTCCTATGAGGCTGTGGTGAAATATCTAGAAGTAGCCCGGTTAGGGTTATCCCACTAAATGTGTTGAGCGAAGCCAGATTGCTCATTCTTGCGAGTGGAGAAATTTTTCAGGGTGGTGTTCTGTCATTACTCCTGTGGCTACTCGCAGCGAAGTAGGCTCTGGGAGAATTCGATCCTAAAGGTACAAAATTCTCGTATGGAAACCCCGAGTCTTAATGGAATGCAGCCATCAATCAAGGAACTCGCAAAGTATCTGGAAGTAAATTGAAAGCTGATGTGGAAGCTAAGGGTGGAAAAGGCCAGTGGTTGCTTGTAATGTAGCGGTAGCTAATATTATGCTTTTTGGTGCTCTAGTGTGGTGGAGCACCTCGAGGGCTAAGATAACTTCAACTTGAAAGGCTGACACCAATCGACATCGCAGTGGAGGCGGGCCACAACCTACTAGCAGTTCTTACAAGCAGAATGGGCCATTCTGTGCGGCCTTAGCTAAAATTCGTCTTCGAAATTTCGAGCTTTGTAGTTCAAGGGACAAGAAGAGGCTACCAAATAGGATATCAAGACTATTTTGAGTTTCGCGAATAGCGTCCTATAGGACGACAATTTAAGATTGCAATAAATCGGACTGCGATCGCCCATCTACTACTACTACTACTTAACACAGTTTGGAAAATTTTTTAATTTAGTCTTTATATCTCTTATTAGGTTTATGTTAGGCTAGAGTGGATATCGAAGTGAGAGCAACCATACACTTATTAATACCCGATGTTTATCCGAGGACTAAGCTTTACTATCCACCCACGTAGATTACATTTCATTTAATAATTTACCGTGATATCCACTATGAATCATTCAAGCATCGACAAAATATCGGAAAAAATTGATATCGGAACCTAGCTCTGCCCAAGGCAAAAGAGTCGTTCTCGCAGCTTCTCAAAATCTTTTAAAAGGAGCTTCGAGAGAAAATCTATCATCTGTAAATTCAAAACTACAATATACAAAGAAGCTTCCATCGTCCAGATAGGATGGGCTACTGCAAGACCTTCAGTGACCTCCCGAATGACTATAAAGTCTTTATATCGGATAGAAATTAGATAGAGTTGCTCTAATAGATGCAGACTCGATCTACTTCTATACGGAGGAATGAAAACTAAGCAATAGAATCGACAATGGAATCTACTCAACTTGGGTCTATCAAGTCTTTTTTGGGCTCATTATGACTGTAACGGGTTTCAAGCTGAGCTGGGAACCATACAGGAGGCTGCCAATTGTCTAGATCTAATGGAAATTACAGTGAATTTATCGCATTGCTAACTAAATACGGCTGAGTCTCAATTCTTGACAGGTGGGTAGGGTTGGGCATATTATCCTACAAACCTGGAATATATAGTATGATGACCAAGGAAGACTATCCCACTAAAAATGAACAAAGTGTCTATAATGATGGGCCTTCATACGTCTCATTCTCCATTAGGTAGACAAACAGAGATGCTGGGCGTATTATCAAATGACCTCTGCAGGGGTTGTAGAGAGCAATAAGAACCGGAAACCTTTGGAGGAGCTAATGGAGCTAATTCACCTTTTAGCTATATAAGGTACAATATCCTGTGAGAGTGTAAGGCTGCTCGGGTACGCCAATGATATTGACATCATTGCTCTCAACTACCAGCCTTCTCTAGACTGGATAAAGAAGCGAAGCGAATGGGTCTGGTAGTGAACGGGGACAAGACGACATATCTCCTGTCCTTAAACAAGCAGTCATCACATGTGCAACTCGGCTAACACGTCACTGTTGACAGTCATAACTTTGAAGTCGAAGGTATGATAAATTCGTCTATCCTGGAACCAGTCTTAACACCAACAACAATGTTAGCCTTGAAATTCAACGCAGAATCATTTTTGCCAACAGGTGCTACTTTGGAATGAGTAGACAATTGACAAGAAAAGTCCTCTCTCGACGAACAATGACCAAATTTTATAAGTCGCTCATTATTCGCGTCCTACGATGACAACATCTGATGAGTCTCTGTTAGACGTTTTTACTCTACGGGTAGGGAACGGCGAATACTGTGGCCGATCGAACGATGAGCTCTACGAGATATATGGCGGCATTGACATAGTTCAGCGAATCAATAGACAGTGCCTACGCTGGCTAGGTCATGTGGACCGGATGAATAGGAATACTCCAGCTCTATATGAGTATGTTTCCAATGCAGTATCCGCCGGAGAAAGGCGTAGCTTGAAATATTATTCAACCACCCTGATGTAAATTTTCATGGAAATTCATTGGTATTGTTAGAAAGAGATTTTAGGCAAATATTCCCTAAAAATAAATTAAAACATATTTTTGTGCGCAGTTTTTATGTTAGAAGATCAAATCAAATATTTTTTTTTTGTGTGTAAATTACTTTTTATTGAAGTTTCTCTTAATTTTTCATATGAAGATTTTGTACATTTTTCGTTTTAATTTTTATTTGTTTATTTATTTTTTGTTTGTTTATAGATACAATATAATGTATATTCTCTTGTATGCCTTAATATTTATATTCTCTAATAATAATAATAATAATATATGTAATTAATAAACTTTCCATCATTTTGTATAATAGATGTACATATGTGTATATGTATGTATTTAAATATTATATATGTACATTGTACATACATTTATATTTGCTTTTCTGTGTACTTTTTTGTTTGTAAATTTAATATTATAACAAATAATATTTAAGTGTTTAATTTAGAACGTGTGTTTTTACCATTATACAATATATTATTTATATTTACCTATGTATGTATGTAAACATATTTAGTAAGTGCATGTACAAGTACAAATATAAATTGTATTTTATTATATAATATATTAATTAAGTTATATATATGTATATACAAATGTATATATAATATTATTTTGTATTAGTAATATATGTATATATGTATGTATATTTTACAGAAATTTCATAACATATATTATGTATGCATGTCGTTCAAACTAAACTAATTATATGGCCCCGCTATTCCACATGTGTTGCTATACATATTTATTGGTACTTTAAATATATATACATATGTATGTATGATGTTTAAAAAATTATAACTTTCATTACATTCATTATTTATACACTTTTTGGCAAATCGTTTTTAGAATTGTTTATTAGCAGAGCTATTTTAATTAATTTGTATTTTAAATTTTCTTTGCAAAATTATATTTTTTGATAAAAAAAATTAAATTTTTATCAAAAAATTTAAATTAATATTTTTAATTAATTTATTTAAACTGCATATTTAATTTTTTTTAATAAAAAAAATTTTAATTTGACTTTATCATAAAATTTTTAAACAGCAAATTTAGTTTTTTGAAGAAAAAAAATTAGTATATTAAATTAACTTTTTTTTATTAAAAAACTACCGTTTTTAACTACCTAATTTAAGGATTTCATTTTAATAAAATATTGTTGTTTGGTGCAAATTTTTTACTGTTTCCTATTTCTATTCGCCACCGTTTATGACAGACAGCCTTTGCAGGTGCTGTCATTTCAAACGATATTTAATTTTGATTTTTGTTTAGAAATAAATGACTATATAGCTACTCATTTTATCATTTTTTTGCAAACATTTGCTAATTGCAAATGCACTGTACATAAAAATAAGCAAAAGCTAAAAATAAGTTTTAATAATACTTTAAATGCTTAATAATTTTAACTAAATTTAACGCTTGTAGAGGAAAAATACAGGAAAACAAATTAAGTTTAAAAAAAAAAATTTAAAATTTTTTGTGTTAAAATTGAAAAAATTAAATCGCAGTCATAAAAAAAAGTTAATTACAATTAAATGGAAAAATAAAATAACGAATAAGACAATAAAATAAAATATTAAATAAATAAAATATAAAAGAAAAAATTAATTTTTCTTAATCAACAATCTAAAAGTAAACCAAAAAATGAAATTTAATAGAATAAAGAAACTAAATTAAAAATATTTAAATAAAATACAAGACATAAATGAGTAAAGTAATTAAAAAACGAATTTGAATTTTAAAATTAGCATACAAATTATGTAAAATCAAATTATAAAACTATTTATTTATTATTATAAGATTAAAATAAATTTAAAACTTATATAATTTACAATTGAGAAGAAATTGATGTAAATGAAAAATTCAAATTCAATTAAAACTAAAAAGCAATACAGTTAAGTTTCAGAATTAAAATATTTCAGTAACGAAACTTAAATATAAATGACTTAAAAATAATAAATAAAATATGTAAATAACTGCGCTAATATTGCATTTTAATTATTTATGAACATAAGCTTTTAATATTTTTTTGTACCAATATTTACATACAAACATTTTGCGCATCTTACATTAATCATTTTTTTTTGATAGTGCAACTAAATATATGTTTTGTTTATTTTATTCATATATGTATGTTTAATACGCAATTGAAATTTCCCAATTCATTTCTATTTTTAGTTAATCACAGTTTCAAAATTTTTCAGTTTTATTATATAATATATGTACATACATAGCTAGTGTTGGTAGAGTCAGAAATAAAAAATCCAAACTAAGGAAAAGCCTATGCAGCTCTGACTCAACGCTTGACTTTAATGAACAGCCAATGTTGTTGTTGTTTTTCTTTTTCTTTACAAAATGTAAATTTGAATATTTAATTTAATTTTATCTTTAAAGCTGCACACACAATTTGCACCAATGATGGAAATATTTGAATTAAAAATATCTAAATTAAAAATATTCAAATTAAAAGTATCTGAATTAAAAATTATGTGCTCGTAATTCTTTTTTCAAATTAGTTTTAAAACAAGTTTTGTTTTCAAGTGTTAATAATTTTATTTATATAGAGGTGCTTACTATTTGATTTAAAATATTAATAACATAACATTTTTTTAAAATAAATTCAATTCATTAAAAATAATTTTTGTTTAATTGCGAGACCACACTTAATATACATACATACCTACATGTGTATGTACAATACATAATAATAATAATTCAAAATTAATATTAAAAAATTCTTAACTGTATTAACAAAAAATGCGATTAAGTGCATTAATGCAACATTATTTATTATTAATTTATATGTTTACAATATTATTAGTAACGAGAAAAAATTACGTTTTATTATTGTGTAATAACAAATGCGCTTGCTGTGTGCTTGTGTGTGTCTGTTTGCCATAAACCCATTTACAATATAAAATTGTGCTGCTTTTGCATACATAATTCACTAAAAACTAGAAATTATTAATTAATTTAATGTAATTTCATAAAACAAGTTAAGCAACAAAAAAAAAGCAAAACAATTATTTTAAATTAAAATAATTTAAATATAGACAAATAAATATATACGACCTGAAAGTGCGGTGCTGTAGAGCCACTTTTACCGAGGTACATATGCACATATATATTATGAACGTATATATATATGTACAAACAAATGCTAATTAAGCACTCACTTGCAATTCATAATTTAAAAAATAACAAATTCCTTTTAGTTTAACATATAACAAGTAAGTTGTTGTTATTTTTTATTTTCTATGTGAAACAAAATATGCGCTTTTGCGCTTAACACAAATAAGTAAAACAACAAATAGTGCTAAGCAATATAAACAATATATTAAGCCGAAATTGCATTAAATATTTAATAATAAAATTATGTTCACGAATATATGTGTGTATATATGTATGTATGCATTTTGTTAGCAAACAAAGAACTTATGCAGACGCAAAATAAAAATTATTAAAAAAGCAAAAAAAAGTGCCATTCCATCAAACCGCTCCAGCTCTTCGGTAAAAAGAGAGAAAATTATTTTTAAATAATTTTGCTTTCTGTCTCAAACGCATTAAGACTCTTTGTGGTCAAAATTAAAATTGTTTAAGGTATATACAAGCCACCCTTCTTCGTTTAGTTTCAAACTCTTTGTTTTCTTTCATTTACATATGCTCCCGCACACTACTATGGACACACGCATTACTACTTAACAGTAATCTTTATGAAAAAAAATTAATTCCTACTTATAACCTGACCAGTTTTGGCATTTACTAATATAGTTTTATGGCCTTGTTGTTGTTGTACGCCACCAGCAGCAGCAGCAGCAGCTGCAGCAGTTGACTGCTCATCGCCATTATTAATGTTATTAAGATTGTTGTTGTTGTTGTTGTTATTATTATTATTATTGTTCACACAACCATTCAACTGGGCGATATTGCTGCTGTTATTGCGACTGATGCGACGTCGCAAGCGATCGCTGATATTTTCAGAGTTGGCACTTGCATTAGGGTTGTTGTTGTTGCTACCTTCACGTTTTACGCTTAGGCAGCCATCATTTTTGTACAGTATAATTTTGTTGCAAGGCTTTTTAATGCTGTCCGTACTTGTTGTTGCTGATGTCTTCTCATCCGCTTTCTCATCTGTATCAGCGTTTATTTTCGCACTATTGCTCTTTGCCACACCACCCACGGCCAGCTGTTGCTCCTTCAGCATATTTTCGTTGATAACATGCTCCTCATTGTTGTTGTCATGATGCTCTTGCTTGAAATTAAATTGCAACATTGCGGACACATCAGCTACCATTTCCTGGCTGTGTATATCATTCATGTTGGTGTTGTTGTTGTTGCTGTTGCTGTCAGTTGCTGCCTTATCGGAATCGCTTACCTCCTCCTGATTTGCCGCCTCATGCTGCTGTGCTGTGGCTAGCCGCTCGTCGGCAACGTCCTCTTGCTCTACACTCAACTCCAAATTGTCGTAGGAGGTGAAGAAGGCAACAGATTTTAGTTTTTCCACTGCACTGAAGTGCACGCGTGTATGCTCTTCAATATGCTCCTGCTTGCCATCGCTGTAATCGCAATGTTCGCAGGTGTAGGCCTCCTTCTGGTTGCTAATGCAAATGTGATGTTGTAGATGTGCTTTATATAGTGTGGTATGTTTCGTTTCATAGGGGCAGTAGAGACACTTCTCCATGGGTGCTGGTGAGGCAATGCTGGAGGTGAAATCGCTGCCGCCATCTACAGCCAAATCACTTGTGGCCACCGAAGCGCTGGTCGATGGCATATTCGAGGAATCATCAGCGTCGGCTATGGCGAGCTCTTTGGAAGTGTGCGTAGGGGAAGGTGAACTCAGCATGGTCGCATTACCAATAACAGTACTGCTGCTACTACCCATGCCGGATTCCAATTGTTTCTTCAGCAGCGAATTGGCTGTATCGAAGTGTGCTGTTGTTGGCATTGTTGCCGGTGTTGTTGCTGACGCTGTGGGCGTGACGGATGAGGAGGATATGCTGGCATGTTGCTGTTGCACCTTGCATTGCTCATTCAAATCATTATCAACTATCCAAATGGTCTCGGGCGCCTGTTGCAGACTCTTGGCCAAGGTGATTTGCATGAGTTTGGGTGACGCATATTCGGTATCTTCCGGCAAGTGCTTGTATAACTCAGCACATTTATCCTGGTATGTGCGTGTGTGCACATAACGGTGCTTTTGTATATGTGTTTCATGTGGTGCTGCGTAATCGCAGAACTCACATTTGTAGGCGGGTTGCATGTCACTGTTGTTGCTGTTGCCGTTATGATATTTCAGATGATCCTCCAGCTCCGCTCTGGCATTGGAGGTCTTACTGTATTTTTGCATATAACGCGCAGGGCACTTGGGACAAAAGAGTATACTTTTAATTTGGTTTTCACCAGTTAAAGGCGCATGCGGGTGTGGGAAGGTGAGAGGTGTGTGTGGTTGTTCTTGTGCATTTGTCTGTTGTGTTAGACGTTGTTGTTGTTGCTGGTGCACAGCAGAGATTTTCTGTTTTAAAGCTGTCAGATCAATAGCCAGTGGTGATGATGGATCCTGTTGGCAGAGTTTTAAAGGTAAATTCAGTGATTTTTTTCAAAAACTTTTTTTTTGAATATACAAAAATCAAAAAAAAAAATATGTTGTAGACGAATTTTTGGACTTTTTTGGGGGAAAAAAATAGAGCAACAAAAGAAACCATTCCTACCTGTTGCGCCTGCGCCACGGCAGCCAATTGCAAAGCCATGCTGAAATCCATGGAATTGAGAGCGGCACTCATGCTGCTCATCGGGTTATTGGAGCCGCTCAAACTATGTTGCTGGTGTACGGTGCGCATGTGACTGCTCAAATGCTGCTTCTTGGCGCACACAAAGGTGCACAACGAGCACTCGTACTGTGTGGGCTTATGCAGCGAGATGTGATAGTTCATTTGCGATTTACTCTCCGAGATGTAAGGACACAGTGGACACTTTTGCTGCTTACATTTGGAATTCTGCTGCTGTTGTTGTTGTTGTTGGTGCTGCTGAGACTGCGTCTGTGCCTGCGACTGCATACCAGCACTGGACAGACCGCCAGTAGGCAGACGTGTGATTTCAATTTGATCATTTTGTTGCAATTGCTGATGCAACAACAAATCCTCGCTGGTAATACCCAGCGCAGCTACAGCGGCAACAGCAGCGGCAGCCGAGCTATTGCCACCGGAAGCAGCGGCCGCTTTGTAGGTGGCTGCCAAATAAGCAGCGGCAGCTTGTTGCAATTCTTGCGGTGTGGTGGCTGCATTGGCGGCTGCTGTGCCGGCGAGTGGTGAGTGTAGAAGACTGTGTTCAGCCTTATGGCTACTGCTGTTGTTGTTGTTCATAAGTACTGAGTTGCTTGCTGATGGACCAGCAATGTTGTTTTGCTGCAGATGTGGCGATTGCTGGTGCTGCTGATGCTGCTGTTGTTGTTGCTGAAGCTGCTGTTGCTGTTGTTGTAAGGCTTTAAGTGTGAGCCCATAATTGGATTCATTGGTCGCGCCATTGCCGAGCGGTCGATAAACGGGCGGCGCATTACGATCGTTGGGGTTGATGGAGCGATCAAGGGTTTCGATGCGTATGTCGCCAGCGTGTTTCAAACGACAATGCCGCTGTGGATGGGAGGGAGAGAAATAATAATAATAATAAGTTGAGATAAATTTCGTGGCGAATTTGACAGATAAATATGTAAATATATATGCGTTTGAAAGGTCATAATTAATAATTTCAAAAATATAAATACTATAATAATATAAATAAAATAAAAAAAATAATTATAAAAAAAATAAGATAAATAAAATAAAATAAAAATTAATTAAAAAAATGTATATAAATAAAAAATAATACAATAATGCAATTCTTTAGGCAGACATTTCAAAGCAAATGAGAGCTGGGGGACGTACTTCCTCGGCGTAAACACTTAAGAACCTTGTTTTGGACTAGCACTTTCAACGAATAGAATGTATTTAATGAAATGTGTTTTTTTATTTAATGAACACCAGACACCTACACTAATTTATAAGCTTATATTTATTAACTTTTTATGAAATAAAAGAATAATTTTTAACGAAATGAAAAACAAAACATGTAAAAATATGTACCGAATCCCATTATGTATGCAGGTATGTATGTAATGTATTTACATTTTTAATAGCGATTCAAATTTCATGAGCAACATTAAGCAAAATATGATTTTTTTTATATAAAATACAAATATAAATAATTTAAAATTTTTTTTTGGCATAAATGAAAAATGTATGTAAATTATTGAACACCAAAACCGCTTCGAGTAATTTGTAAGTGGTTATTGTTGTATACAAAACACCAAAAAAATTATAGATAAAATCAGCTTATATTTACCAGCAGGATGATACAAATTGTCTATACAAACACAAAAGAGTTGCCATGTTTTAGTACAATTTTTTTTATCAGATTTTAACGACGTGCAACAAACGGACGATACATTTTGGGGGAGACTCACGGTGCTACATTTTCGAAAAAAAAAATTAGTCTATGAAATTTATTTCCGGACACTCTTATTGGGGTAGTAGACCACTAAGTGTGTGAAGAGGAATTTTTGAATGCCCATTAAAAATTTTACTTATCAGACAAATTCTTTTAAGCACGAAAGTATTTTAAACACGAAAAAAAAAATGCATAAAAATTTTTTCTCTTATACTTAGATTTGTTTGTAGATAATTTAATTTGAAATGATAATTAAAACTAGTTTGCGCTCATAAACTAATAATAAATAATATAGAAAATTCTGAAAAATCTTTGAACCATTTCATTTTTAATTATTTGAGTATGAATATACATACGAGTACATATAAAATAAAATTATGTGCTTTCAAAATGAATTGTTTATATATTATTTTGGCGCTTCTTAAGTTTACATTTTTCGACCTTTACGGCCGAAATAATTTTCTTGGTAAATTAAAATAAAAAAACTATTTTTTTAGCACTAAGATAGCCATAACGAAAACTACAAAACAGATACGTGGGCTACCTTCTATTTTTTTGCATAACGTGCTAGAAAAAGTACTGTAAGCTGAACTTTAACATATTTTGAGAGAAAAATAAAATAATGAGATCCAAAGTCACTTTTTCGTTGCCAAGTAAGGTGGACAAAATCATAAAAAAATTAGAAACTTGTGCGCGAATATTAAATTCATACAAAAAAATTTAAAAGATTCTTCGAAAATATTTTTAATTTCCCAAACATATATTTTTAAATTTCTGTAGAATATTTAGAAATGTTTTTTAAAATACTATGTTAGCCAAAGCGAAAGCTATTCTAAATTTCGTGGGCTACATTCTTTCTTATTACATTGAATGCCAGGAATTTAAGCTAAAGCTTTACAGTTATTTTAACATTTTTCAAAAAAATAACAGTATTTGAAGCTAAATCCTGGCATTTTGAACCTAGCGGGGTAGAAAATATCATAAGCAGTAATTTTAAAAACTGTCTTTGAAAGCGCTTTGAAGAATATCTCGTACATATTCTTACACTTTCTAACCTCTAAATATTTATTAAATTAGAAAATAAATATGTAGTACTTACAAAAAAAAAAAAAAAAAAAATAAGCTTCAAACACAAGTTTACAAGGCTACAAAGCAATTCCTAATAATTAATACTTTCTATTTATCTTCTCCATTTATGTCTATTTATTTACCAACTATTTTACACAAATAACTTTTTAAAAAAATATGCTATACTATTTCATATGCATTTATATATGTACATATATAGCGACCGTAATGATGGAAAATTAAAATGGCAAATGGCAAATGTTTTGTATGTGTTTTTGGTGAGTTTTTTTTTTTTTGGTTTTTTTTCTTTTGGAGAGGGTTATGATTAGTACATATAACCGAGTAAGTATTAAAAATACCTGAATGACATGCTTCCAATTTGATACTTGATGACAATGACCGCAACGATACGGCGACGGTTCACGTCGCTCGCTGTCGTTTACTAATAAATTACTACAATTGTTACTCTGATTTGGATTGAGATTTTGTGTATTATTGATATTATTATTGTTATTAATAATATTGATATTATGGCTATTGAAATTGTTTGTCGTTGTCGGTGACAATGTTATCGCATTGGAAGCATAAAGAGCTGCTGCCGCTGCCGCTGCCGCCGCTGCTGTTGCCGACTGAGCCGAATTCAATAACAAATTAGATGAAGATGATGATGCCCCACCACTATGGCCAGCAGTTGTTGGACTGCTAGCTATTGTTGTTGTTGATGTAGTAGTAGTAGTAGGAGGTATGGAAGAAGTATTGCGAATTAAACTAGTAGTAGTTGTAGTTGTATTAGAATTATTAGAACCAAACATAATACCACCAATACATAGACTATTATTAATATCACTATGAGTCGTGTGACTACCAATGACACCGACACCACCACCACCACCAACAACACCAACGTTATTAACACTACCACCATCACCAATGCTACCACTTGGATTGTTGGTGGCAATAGACGAAGCACCGATGAGACCCATTTGCATATGATATGGATTGCTAGAGGACCTTGCACCAATGGATGAATTAGCAGAATTTGTAGGAGTAGTTAGAAGTGTAGTTACTGTTGTGGCACTAGGCGTGTTGAGTGCAAGTGCACCACTTGATGCTGCTGCACTTGGTGATGAGAGTAATGAAGATGAATAACCACTTGCATCGGCTGTTGTTGGCAAAATTGCTGGGTTTGTAGGCGAATCAAAGACATTGTCATTTGAACTGTGCAAAAGTGTTGTTGCACTGTTGTTGTTGTTGTTGTTGCTATTGCTGTCTTTCATAGCTGTTAATGCACCCATAACCAAAGTTTTATTATTATTTAGTTTACTATTGTTATTGATATGACCACTGACACCACCAACGCTACCACCATTATTATTGTTGTTGTTGCTTATTGTAGGCGAATGCAATTGATTGCGTAATGATGATGATGCTGATAACGATGTATAAGTGCCACGCGGTGAGGTCAACAAGTGTTGCAACGATGATGCTGCTGTTGCCGATGCTGATGTGGCCGTACCGACTATACCAGCACCTATGAAGCCGCCCGAGGAGTTGGGTGAAGGTGACGACGATGAAGACATCGTCGCTAAATTAGTTATGGCAATGTTATTTTGGTTTATGCTGTTGTTGTAGCTATTGTTATTGCAACTGTTTTGTTGTTTGGGCGACGTCGGCCTTTGGGCACTTGCCTCGTTTTGTGTCGCTTTCTGCTCACCGTGCTCTAAAATAGAAGCAGTTGCTTTAGCTGGACTCTTGCCGGCAAGCGATAATGCCAAACAGCCGAATGGTGAATTTGGTGAAGCACCTTGGATGGCCTGTTGTAATAAGCCGGTTGAAATTAGGGAATGTTGTTGTTGCTGCTGCTGCTGCTGATCATTGCTGTTAGTTGGCGCGCCAGAATTGGGTTGTTTTTGTTGTTGTTGTTGTTGTTGTTGTTGTTGGGAAAGGCACATTGCGGCGAGTACATTATTCATGTAAATATTTGGATTGACAGCCACTTGTAGTGGCGTGTTGTGTTGTTGCTGTAGTTGCTGCTGTGGATTTGCAGATTTAGGCGAAGTGGTTGCTGTTGCTGTTACAATGGGATAATTCCCATCCTGGTAATGTATCTTGACGTGGGCGAGTACAGCATCGCGATTGGCATGACTGTAAAAAGGACGTAAAAGAATAAGAATTGATAACATTAAAAACATTTGAAAATCTGCGAACAAAGAAATATAAAAAGAAACATCCTCCTAAATGAATTAATAGTCAACAATTTTCAAATCTCTTTTTGTCAGTGCAAAATCTAAACATTCACTCACCGAAAACTGCATTTACGACAGCGATAGAAAGTTTTCTTCTCATTGCCCTCCTGTCGGACATCCGTAACGAGATCATCACTTGGTTTCATGAGTGGCGGCGGCGAGCGTTTCACCGCCGAAATCGTTACTGAAGGCGTTATCAATGTGGCTTGACCTTGATCAGGGTCCTTTTGTTGTTGCTGCTGTGACATAGCAGCGTTCATCATGGTAGCTAGAAAAGGCAGACGTATCAAACCGTCGGACATTTGGTCACCACTATTATTATTATTATTGCCATTAATTGATTTCGTTGGTATTGGTTCCAATGTTATATCTTCTTTGATGCCATTCAAATGTGTAGAGGTCAATGCGTTAGACCCAACACTTTTATTGAAATCATTGATAAAGGAAAGTGATGCCACTTGATTGGGTGTCATCTCGCCCGATTTCATTAATTTCGGATCACCATCCTCTTCTGTCACCTTCATCAATGTAATATATTTATTATATTTGGTGTAATTACGACGCCCGGTTTCGTCATTCATCAGCACACGAGCGTTCTTGTGACTAGGATCACGTATGGTCTTTAGGCGTATATGCTTTGTAATGTCCCAACGCCAGTTGGAGCGATACGAACAAAGCGAGCACTCGAAGGGTTTCTTATTCAAATGACCGACAATGTGTACGTGAAAACGTGAAGCTGTGGAAGCCCAAAATGAGCAATGTGGGCATTTGTAAACTTTTTTCAATGAAGAATTAGCTGCCTCTTCTTCTGGTGTCATCTTTTTCGTTACCTGTCGAGAGTGAAAGTTTCAAATTTCATTTATAACCAATACTCTTAGCGATAGCTAGAGGTGTTTAAGTAATTTGTTTGCCCACTCAACTCACCTCACCATAACCGGGTGCTGTTTCAACACCGTAGTAGCTGTTTTCCTCGCATGTGGCACTGCCACCACCATGTGCGCTGCTACCAGATGACTCTGCGTTATTGTTGGCCTGCCCACGGCTATCGGAACACTGACTCCCTTCACGTTGACCTGCCTCACCTCCCGGTATTTTATTCCATATGAATACACGATTCTCCATCGGATGTTGTTCAGCATTGGAATCTCCGCCACCAGCCCGTCCACCACTGCTGTCACCAGAAAGTGAATCATATGAGTCATTGCCACAACGGCTCGCTTCGGTGCACTGCTTCAAATGATTCAGCAGATCCGCCGATGATTTGCAGCGGTGACGACAATGCTGACAACGTGTGGAACCGGTAACACTCAAATTTAATGCTGAATGTGATTGCCGATCATCATCATCTGTAAAATCGATCTCCAACCGATCGTCAGCATCATCTTGCTCCTCTTCTACATCATCTTCCGCGATTGCGGCGAAGTTGCATGTTTTACGGTGTATAATGGACTCAGAGAGACATTTCGCCATATGACCACAAGGGCAGATGAGGTTTTCATTTGGTCCAGCCAAGGCGGATGACTTTAATTTATCGAAAAAGCTGCCACCTGGTATGGGTTTCTTCTGCAATAAACTACGTGAAGCATGACTCGATGTGGACACTACCGTGGGGGTGGGTGATAGTTGGGATGCATCCGCTTTTTCTAGTGGCTGCAGCATCTCGGAAATTTGTTTATCATTGAAAAACATGGAAGCGATATCGGTGAGAGAGCTGCGAGGGGTGGCAAACTCTTTCGAAAGATTTATAATGCTGAAATAGTCGAAATTAAATATTTCATGATTTACTTAAATATATATTTTTTTGTGGATTTTGTTTTGAATGCATTTACAAATAATTTTATTGGATTTTTTTAGCTTTTTTTAATTTCTTATTACATTTGAAGTTTAAATTTTTTTACTTAATATATAATTTTTGTATACTTTTTCCATGATTTTATTATATTTTTTTTTATATTTCATTTTTTTTTTTTTTTTAGATTTTACTATTTTTTTACCTTAGTTTTAATTTGGTTTTAAATTTTTTTTCTTTTATTTATTTATTTAATTTATTTTTTATTTTATATTTTATTTTATAGTATTATTTTTTACTTTAATATAAATTTTATAAGCCCGGATAAAAGTTCAACTCACCTAGAATTGGTATTTTTCGGTATCGGAATGAGATTCGGTATTGGACGCTTTGCCTTTGGTGTTTGCGATAAGCTCACACTGTGATTATGCACGGAAGATGTGTCAGAAGAGCCACCCTTGGCTGACAAGTCGGTGGGCTCATCATCATCATACTTGCCACGTTTGTTGTACGGTTCCACCGTCATTAAAGCTTCATCGTAATCATCGAGATTATTATTATTGTAATGATCCTCTAGCAAGTCGGCAGAATCACTTAGGAAATCATCACACAAATCGGTGCCGCCAACTTTATTGCGTCGTCGTGCCAAAGACATGCCTGCTGCATGCCCCACCGGTGGCACATGATGATTCATTTCATGTACTGTCAGTGATTGCTTTATATCAGCTGTGAAATCGCAAGCGGCACATTTGAATGGACCGGTGCCACCATGATTCTTCATATGTCTGTCGAGATTCCATTTATAGGGCGTGCGAAAATCACAGGTGACACACTTGATCATGGGCATTGAGTGATATTTGACATGTTTACTGAAGCGTGCCTTAATGTGTGTTACATACGAACACTTTTCACAGCGAAAGAATTTCGTTTTACAATGCTCGTCCAGCTCATGATCGACCAACTGTGCTCGAAATAATGTGGTAAAATCGCAGAGACTGCATTTCAAAAGCCTATTTTGTGTGGGCTCATCACCAACATAAGACAATGAAACGCTGCCAGAGTGCAAACCAACTGCGCTGGCTGCATCTGTCCCTTGTCCACCAGAGGAAACCGAATCGGAGGGTGATGGGGATAACTCGATAATGCGGGTATTGATATTAAGTTGTTGTTGGTGAGCGGGCGGCAATTGAAAATCGCTTTGACTATTGCCACCGCTATTGCTGGTACTGTTAACGGAAATGCTAGTATTGCTACTGTTATTAGTCGCAGCTGCTGTGATAGGCGACTGTCGACGCTGTGCATCAGTAGTTGCTGCCGCTGCGGAGGCTGCTTGCATTTCTTGTTCGTAGACGTTTTGTGCTTGCTGGCGAGCCTCCAGCTCGCGTTCACGTTGTGCTTGCAATTCACGCTCGTAAACGACGGCGATTAGTGAATCGCGTTGTAGTTCTAATTCGCGTTTGACCTTGTGAAGAAGAGGTTATTGATTTTAGATTTTAAAAATTATTGAATAATTTATATATTTAAGACAGAAGTTTTGCAAAACTTTATTTCGTTCTAGTTAGTCAGTTATTTTGACAAGCTAAAGCTTTCTAAACTTACCTGCTCATAAGTTGGCATCTTTGATATGCCGCCATTGATCGCCACATTACCGCTGGCGCCGCTGACTTCTATGGGTGCACTGCCCAAGCCAACACTTTGCTCCAATTTTCGCTTGCGCGCTTCTCGGCTCATGCCGCGTTTACCACGCGGCTGTCCATGGCCGCCGGTCACACCGTCGGTGCAACCGTGCACCATTTTCATATGACGGACCAACTTTTGGAAATGTCTCGACGCGTATAGGCACAATTTACACTTATTAATGACAATCTTCTCCCCGTGCACATCACGCAGATGTGTTAAATGATAACGCGGATTCTGTGTGAAATATGTGCAATAGCTGCAGCTATAATTCCGTTTGATTTTACACTGTGGCAGACCCTCATCCTTCAGCTCCATCGCTTGTTGTTGTGCTGCCGCTGAAGCAGCTGCTGCATTTTGTTGTTGCTGTTGTGTAACATTTTGTTGCTGTTGATGCTGCTGTTGCAAATGATATTGCGCTGCTGCGACACGATAGCGTTCTATTTGTTCCAGCGCATTATTTGATATGTTGGATGCGCCAGTCGACTGTTGCTGCTGCAGTGGTGAAGGACTACTATGTTTATTATTGTTATTGTTTGTGGATGCAGCACCCTGATCCAAGTACAATTGATTGCCACTGACGACACTACGCACAATCAGCGTATCGCCGGAGCGTTGCACCATCGATGGCAGTTCCATAACTTGAACTTATAGCCAAGTTTCCCAGTTGCACATGTGACAATAAATGTTTTGAAGTAAGGAGTGTGCTGCCGTTGTTGTTGTTGCTGATGAGTTGCAACTGTAATTAGAAAGGAGAATATTAGATTACATTTTTATGCAAACAAAAATTCATATATAAATTTAGAGAAATAAAATAAATTTGTGAATTCTTAACCTCGTATAAAATCTAAATTGTAAATATATTTGTATTTTCAAATTTGCTTGCGCGCACAAAATTTTAAAATTTTCTCTACTTCTTCATCGGTACGTAATGAAAATTTCTGTGGCCCAATTCTTGGCTCATGCGATTGGGTTGAGTTTCTTCGAGGCAAGTATATTCCATACCAAGTTGAATCCATTTGAGTAGGCGTCACAAGTATTTATAAACAACGGCCAATTAGATTCTAATTGGATTGCCAGCTGTTGCATGGCGCAAAAGTTTTTTACTTGTTGGAGTTTGAGCGAACAAGTGTTTATTGTATGAGAATCAGCTGAGTTTGTTTATATTGTTTGTTAGGCATTTTCGAATAACGGTATAACATAAGGCGTAACCACACTCTTAAACGACTGCTTTGATTTCGAACCGTTTGTTAAAAAAAAAAGCAAAGAAAATTAATTCTAAAAAACAACCTTTTTACCAAAAAAGAAAAAGAGATAAAAGATTAAATGTGCAGTTTGCAGATAGCCAGAGAACTATTTATATTTGAATTTCTTTCTCACATTTTTTATATTCAAATTTAATTTAAAGTTTTCCAGTTAAACTCTGTAAGAATTGCGAATTGCGTGAATTGTTAATTTTAAATGTTCCACATTGCGGAGCAAAAGTTCCATTTGCCGACTCAAGTAAATAAGCAAAAAAAAAGGTAATCGAAATTCCTTCAAATTTATAAAAGGAAAGAATCTTTTCACCGTTATGATACTGTTGGAAAATTTTTTGAATAATGCGGTATACAGGAGTGCTTTCACTTTTATGAAAGTTTCCTTAATAATTAGTTGTCTTTGTCATAGAATATCCTAGCTGAGAGATCTAAGAAAGCTGGTAAAGCCTTATGCGAAAAGCTTAATAATTTAATTTGTTGATTTCAGACAAAATTAATGACAATAGCTCAATAATGAAGTTTTAAAAACTATTATTTATAAGGAACAGGTGGAAAAGTGCAAAACTGTTTTGATAAAAACACAAGAAAACATACAGGTTTTCGAATTGCTGAGGAAGCTCGGTGGCGACAACATCGGTATAGAGTACACCAGAATAAACTGTGTGTTCATAGTTTTTCAATTCGTTTGATTTCCTATTTGTAGTCGTGAAAATCTTGAGAATTGTGATATTGGGCTTGTGGTGTGCACAAAAAAAAAAAAAAAGAGTGGAATAGAGAGTTTAGCAACCAGTAAAATTTGAACCGAGGAAGCACATGTTTGGCATTTCGTTACTGGCTAATTCCTACTGAAATTTCACATCGAACAGAGCTATTATTGTATTTGTTATCCTGCTCTCACCTTTATGCATTCTCTATCACTGACTTTCCAGTGTTTCAAGAGCTCAAAGCAAAGCTACATTTGGCCGCTTTTTTGTGGGCTCTGGTATAGTTCTATTCGGCATTGGGCAAATACAATACTTTTACTCGTGGACTACACTCACTGATTGAGCATCTCCGAGTTTTACTAAAATTTTGAAATTATAGCGTTACTATTTCTATTGCTTAATCCTATTTGTTGCTTATAAAAAAAAAGAAATAATAATAAAAATTAACTCAGTTATTAATTTCGCATTACTTTCTTTACATCAATATCAAGGGTTAATTTCTTGTTTCTTTTTATAAACTTTCTGTTGTTTTTGCTATGGTCATTGCCTCAGTCATTGTTTCGTTAAATATTGTCGCTATAGCTATCTTGGTGTCGGTGCCAACATCGATCCAGAAAAGCAGATAACCGTCACGTTTTCTATCACATTCTTTCCTCGACGGGTCAGTCAACAACTGGCAATATTACTTCTTACTCTTGTGTATACACGTATAATACTTTATGTATGTTTGTAAGTTTGTTTGTAGTAAGTAAAAATGTCCCTGCAGTGCGTTTGGTCTTTGTCTTTTTTTTTTTGGTAGACCATTCATCCATATTGTCAACACATTTCCGAAATTGTACACGCTGCTGTGCAATGTGCTTTAAAATTGGCGCATGTATCCGCTTGCTTTATTTATTTGGCATATTAGCAGCAACATCAGCAGTAGCAGCAGTATAGCTGTTCGGGCAACAACAACGCAAACGAAATGTAATAATGATACTATAATGTCATTTGCGTTCCTTTGGCCACTCTTGCTTTGGCTATCGTCATCTTAATGCCTTCACTTATTCGCTCGCTTGCTTGCCCACTTTAAAGTCCTTTTACTTCTACCCAAAAGCAACATTTCAATGCTCAATTATATCACAACAATATGTGTCTGTTGTCCACAGCAAGAAGAAGATAGATTAGTGTGCGAATGATTCTGATTAAAGAGTAGTAGCTGGTCTTGGTCTAGCAGTTCACCAGTAGTTAAGCTCTGTTGAAGCTTACAATATGTCGTCTCTGGCTCCATCGTCAAGGTAGCCGAGTGGTGAGAGATTCCCACTGTGAAGCACACGTTTCCAATATCGCGTCCCTCTGCGGCTTAGGGGTGCAAGAATTTACCCGCGGTAAGGCATGCCTGTGGTAAGAGGCGACTAAAATCCAATAGTTCCCCCGACAGTCGGGTCTTTATACCGGAACGACCTGGATTTTTATGCGGTCAAGGACTGTCACTCCCTCAACATTCCCCAAAAAGTACTTTGGGGAATATTTTTGCGGTTACAACAACAGCAACAACAATTTCGCGGCATGCAAACTTGTTTTTAATTTTATATTATTATGTTTTTATTTTTTTTTTGTGAAGTGGCAATTCACCTTGTCTAAGTGAACTAGTATTTAACTAGTATAAAGCTGATGCATAATAAGACAATTGACACTTTATAGAACATTGCTGTGTTAATCATACCAGTTGCTTAGATAGAAATAGATGGAAGATGAACTAGTTGGCGTCAAAATGTAAACCAGTTGTATTCTAGTTATAAACTAGTGGTTTTCCTGCAGGGTTTGCACATAAATGAGTAGTGAGTACATTTACACGACCTCGCCATTTCTGGTGTTTTTTTTTTTGCATTTGCATGCGGACGTGCCTTCAGTTAGTGAGTTATATACTAATTTTTCTCAAGTTTCATCGTTAGGCTTTTGTCATCATTTTCATTTTTATTTCATTTTAATTTTCTTTTTTTTTTAACGCCCTTTTCCTCTTCTTCTTCTTGTTCACTGTCGGTTGATACGCCGATGATGTCTTCCTTGATTGCATATAGATTTATTTACATACATACATACATATGCCTACGGTATATGATTTCGTCCTTTGTCCTTCGCTCAGTTAGCCATGCTGTGTCTTTTGTCTGTTGCTCATTGTTAGCTAAATAACTTCATATGCGCATGATTGTATATATATATATATATATATATATATATATGTACATATATATCTGTACACTTTATTGGCTTTGTCAAAATGGCAGTTTGTTGTTGGATTTTTAACGCTTGGCGAACATAAAATGACTGTGACGAAATGTCCTTTATTTAATGGCCAAGAGAGTAACATGGTGCAGTGACCTTATTTATTTACATAAGTAATTACATACATATGTACATGTGTATATTTGCTTGTATGTTATTATTTTAAGTAAGACCCAAGGAGTTGCGCACATTCTGAAAACTGCAAAAACTTCGAAATTTTCTACCCTTTAGCAACTTTAAAACAACAATTGAAGTATTTCTGCCCCTGACTTGATTGACTTGCAACACGGTGCATTCTCTTATGAATAATATCCAATAGGTTGACTTCTCTTCCGATTTGTGGTGGAGGAGCTTTTATTTCATGCCAGAAATACAGAAAAATTAATTTTCTTTAATTTTGAATTTTGATCGCACCAGAACTCGAAACCTGACCTTCCGAATAACCGCAAACACTACTAAGCACTCGACTATTGCGACCACCATAACTTATTTAGAATATTTAAAAAAAAGGTAAGACGAGGTGTATATATATTTATACATATAGATATATGTAGAGGTCCAGTGTAATACAGCAAAACTAGATATTCAACTATCACCTTCAAATGCTCAAAGAACCATAATTTTTACGGACAACACTATCTCTTGATATCCTCGATCTTTCAAAACGCTTTTTTTTTAGTTTTCTGGCCTGGTCTCATTAGGACAGGTTCTCCTTATCATCGTTGGCTTTACGACCATGTTTGAAGTTACATAACCAATATTTAATTATTGCATCTGTTGATGCGGTGTCCCTTTGATATTTTTAAGTTATAGCTTTGAACGAACGGTATTTTTTTCTCATCGAGATGGAGTGTAAAACTATTGTTTTCGTTCCGAATAACATGTGACCGCGTTTGCTAGTAAGAAAAAAACATTTTATTCAAACTTTTTTTGAACAGAATTTCTGAAAATTCCAAAGGAACACATTCATAACTCCGCTATTGGGACGACATTACCGGTGATTCCTCGGAAAAAGGGTGTGCCTGCGTTAACAGTAGAATTAATGAAAGGATCATCTGCAGTGAAAAACAAAAAAAAAAACAATGTACTAGTATTTGGAAGAAAGAAAAGTGAGATATGTGAAAATTGGACTTGTTACAATTCTTTTTCATAAAAAGTACAACTTTTTTTTCATAATAAATGCAATTTTTTTCATAAAAAATGCAAATTTTTTTTCATAAAAAATGCATGTTTTTTCATTGAAAAATTAAATTTTTTTTAAAAAAATATGCAACCTTTTATTATAAAAAAATGTCATCTTTTCTCATAAAAATAAAAAATATGCAACTTTTTTCATAAAATATGCATTTTTTTTTATAAAAAATGCAAGTTTTTTCATTAAGAATCTAAATTTTCTTTTTATAAAATATACAACTTTTTGTCATAAAAAAGCTAGTTTTTTCATAAATATTGCAGAATTTTTTTTATAAAAAATGAAACTTTTTTTCATAAAAATGCAAATTTTTTTCATT